GGGTGGGGCCTGGGCAGAGCGATGGGCCCCCAGCCAGAGGCGAACCATGGCAGGGCAATCCGTGACCCCTCCCAGAAAAGGCACCTGCCCTTCCCGGCCATGGAAGGTTTGGGTGGGAGCCCCCCCTTTCCAGCCCCCTCCTGTCGGGATCCCCTCTCCTTAGAGGGGGCAGGAACCTCTCTCGAAAAGAGACGAGAACACAGCACGCCCCCCTAGAAGCCCCCCCCCCTTGCTCTCTTTGAATGTGAACTCTCGGGGATCGGGTCCGCCTCCTCGGCCCAGATCCACAAACGCTGGCCTTCCAAGAGGGGCGGCCATTGGCCTTGCAGCATCCGGGGGCCCGTTCTCCTCCCTGGCTTTTCTGCTCCAGCTTGTTTTTTGTGTGATGCAGTGGCGGATCCTCCTTAGGTGGGCAGGGGGTGTGCTGGGCCTGCGGGGTGGGGGCCCTCCCGGGGCGGACATGCGCGCGCACCCCCCTCCCCTGTGCCCCCTCCCCTCCTCCTTCCCTCCCTCCCGCTGGTCAACCCTCCACAGGCAGGGGAGATGCCCAGAAAGCGGTCGGGGAGAAGAGGAAGCGAACCTGAATAACCCAATAAAGTCTTGTCTCCTTCACTCAAATCCTGGGAGACGATCCGGCTGGCAGTTCTTGAGTCGCTCGCCTTGCCTCCCCTTTGGCCCCTGTGTGTGTGTGTGTGTGTGTATGTATGTATGTGTGTGTCGTGTGGCATCCCTCGTGTGGGGACGGTCCCTCTGGTGTGGTGGTCCAGGGCTAAGGTCACTCTGAAACACCCACCAACCCAATACGAAGCTGACCCACAGCAAAGGGTGTGAGAGAGTCTGCGGGAGGGGGGAGGAAGGCAGGCAGAGTCCCCTCTCATGGTCGTACTTGCCAGCGCCTTGCACGAAATGTGTGCGCAAAGGCACCCCCCCAGCAGGCAGCCACCCCCTTCCTCCCACGAGAGAGGCCTTCCTCTCCCTTGCCCTCTCCGCCGCCTCGCCAGGAGCCCAGGGCTGGCTGGCCTGCAACGGAGCCACATTGATCTCCTGCGAGGAGGAGGAGGAGGAGAGGGGCTGCCCGCGGGCAGAGAGAAGGGACATGGGGGGGGGCTGGAGGGCTTGTTCCTGGAGAGAGGGCAGGGGAGGAGGCCTTGGAGGAGGGCCGAGGGTCTTCATGGGGGGGCCGCCAGAGGGTACGGAGGGCCCCTGCTTCTAAAAAAGGGAGAGGGCCACAAGCAGGC